CACAAACATCGGTTGTCTAACAGCTAATGACTAATATTTCTAATCTCCAGCCATTCTAAACCCACAACCTACATAGATATAACTACAAAATAAAATAAAATAAGCAAAGGAATATAAAGGTAGCGCCACACCCAGCAGCCAGCGCCTATGACGCACGTACGTCCGAGTAAAGTCTATAAAGTATTAGTTTATCGTACCACCGCCCGGCTATCATTAGGATTGTTAAACATTTGCCTTTCTACCACACTTTACGAGTTTCACTTGAACCAAACTAATAATTATTATTCTCTTTTGTTACGAACGCATAAGTTAGGAAATATAATGTATTTTTTTAAGGGGGATAATCATTGAATGACTTCTCCCTCCTGGGTGAGGCGGGAGGGAGTGTCAGACTCCTACTGACTAAAAACCACCCCGTTCCTACTTTTGCTCTTCGAGCCGGAGCCCCGGGTACCCGGTAAGTCCTCCGCGGCAAATATAATGTATAGGACACACTTACATATACGTTTCTGAAACAGTTATTGTGTTTCTGAAATACTTCCCAAATACTGAAAAGCTACTCAATGTTAAGTCGCGCTTAAGTATAGTTCTATAAAATATAAACTACAAATTCTTTGTCGATTTCGATTCCCGGGTCGGGCAAAGTATTACTGTGTTTTTAAATCTGTTCTAATCTCAGTAGCAGCACGGAGTCTAGAAATTTGGCCGGTTATGTGGCAATAGGCCCACCCCTTATTACATGGGACTCATAACATAAATAGTAAAATGGCTGTTACATTCGTACAGTGGTATTAAGTGCCGTAATGTGCACCTCTACCTACCCCTTCGGGGATAAAAAGGCGTGATGTTATGTTTGTTACATTAAATTATTTGTAAAATTACAAAGATGGTATGATATTTAAGTACAATTTAAAATTAATGTAATGTCCCGAGTGTTGCAGGCGTTCCTAGGCCACGGTAACCACTTATCATCAGGTGGGCCGTGCGCTATTTTACCACCGTCGTGGTATAAAAAAGAATTAAGTAGCCTTTCAGTATTCAGGCGTTCGCCATTAAACACTAGCATTTCAAAATGATATTATGACGAAACCCTATCAATTAAAAATTTTACATCAAATCGGCTCATTCATTTCGACTGTGATATTGTAATTATATTTTTTTTTAAATACATGGTTAACAAGCATTGGGATGAACAAGGCTTCCATTAGAAAATCTACACTCAAATCGGTTTAGTCATTCAGGACCTACGGTGCCACTGACAGACAGATTAGTTTAATTAGTAAAAAATACCCGTCTATTGACAATGGCAGTTAAAAATACCAATCCATGTTGACAATACTACCTTATATGCCTAAAGTAGGAATTTGCGGTCTCATTCCTCGAAATGTAACAAAACTGACATTTTTAATGTGTCGTTGTTGGATAGACGACGTAATGTTAATACCACATGATAGGTATTAATTTGGATTTAATTAACCCACTGATTCAATGCGGAAAGCATTCATTAGTAACTCATGAATCCAAAATCCAAATGTTTATCGTTTTCGGTACACATAGATCGTGTTCAAAACTACACATTACTAAGATCATATCAATATTATTACGGTAATGAAGTTTTGTCAAATCATAATTTAACGAATATATCTAATTTATCAATGCATCCATTATTTTGATGCATCCATAATATTAAAAACTAGCTGTCCGTCCCGGCTTCGCACATTGATTTTATAATCATTTTAATTTTTTGATTACAGAACCAACCATTCCGAAAAATGGCATCAGGCATAGGGATGTCTAAATCATCAGGGGATGATCATAGTCTAAAATTATTATTTCACTAGCGACCCGCCCCGGCATCGCACGGGTGCAATATGCATGTAATATACATATAAAGCTTCCTCTTGAATTACTCTATCTATCAAAAAAAAACCGCATCAAAATCCGTTGCGTAGTTTCAAAGATTTAAGCATACAAAGGGACATAGGGACAGAGAAAGCGACTTTGTTTTATACTATGTAGTGATGTATCCTATATGGATCTTTGGAATGACAGGTACCTATGTAGGATAAAATATGACAAATTTTTATTTATTTTTAACCAATGGTCGTCCCACTGCAGGGCAATGGCCTATATGACAAATGATAAAATATTTTTTTCAAATCGGTCCTGTAGTTTCGGAGCCTTTCAACGGCCTTCAGTACATAAATATTTCAGAGTATGATGTTGTGAGATCAAAATTCATCTAGTGACTTACTTGACTTATAGTCCTATGTCCCCTAGATGGGGCAGAGGGCGTCCACAGAGGTTCTCTATCTCGATCGATCTTGAGCTTCTCGCTTCACCTCGCTCCACGTCACTCCGATGCTCGCCGCCTCTGCTATCACAGTACGACGCCAGGTTTGCCGAGGACGGCTACGCTTCCTTTTTCCCTGAGGATTCCAATCCAGCGCTTGCTTGGAAATATGGTCGGGACCCCTTCGGAGCGTATGGTCTATCCATCCCCACTTGCGACGTTTGATCTGATGGTCGATCGGAGTTTCGCGGCTTCTCTCCAATAGGTCTACATTGGAGATGGTCTCGGGCCAGAAAATACCGAAAATGCGACGTAAGCATCGGTTGGCGAAAACTTGGATTTGGCGGGAGATGTCTTTCGTGACCTTCCACGTCTCGCACCCGTAGAGCAGTACGGATTTGACATTGGACCCGAAGATTCTGAGCCTAATTCTTCGGGTCAGTTTCCGTGACCGCCACACAGGTCTCAGCTGCACGTAAGTAGCTCGGGCTTTGGCAATCCGTGAGGCGATGTCCTCCTCACTCCCTCCAGTTTCTGACACGACGCTCCCGAGGTAAGTAAACTCGTGGAAGCGTTCCAATGCCTCAGTGCCAATCAGCAACGGTGAATTATTCTTCACGCCTGATCTCATATCTTTGGTCTTCCATGTGTTGATCTTGAGGCCTGTTTTTGCCGCTTCCTGACACAGATCGTCCAACTTTGCTTGCATGTCGGCGTGGGTATGACAAAGCAGGCAAAGATCGTCGGCATAGTCCAAGTCTTCTAGGACGTTGGATAATCCCCATTATATCCCATTATTCTAAAATGCGAAGCATAATTCCGTCAAGTACGACCAGGAATAGAAGCGGCGACAGGAGGCAGCCTTGACGTACACCAGAATGATTTTGCAAAAGACCTTAGCAGGTATCGAGAGCAATGTGATACCTCTCCAGTTGTCACATATACTAAGGTCTCCTTTCTTTGGCACAGTTATAATAAGACCTTTGTTCCAATCATCTGGGAGCTAGCTAATCATCTAGTGATATAATTAAATTAAAACATATAGTTTTCTCTTCTTTTCTTGTAATATCTTTTGATTCACTTTGTTGCGGGAACTAAGACAGCTATTCATGTCCCTGAGACGCGCCGGACTTCACTGTTCCGGTGTTTTCATGGTTGTATCTATTGTAGATCCTGGCTTATAGGAGTTGCAGCGGTTTAGGGAGGTTCTGTCGGGCTTGTCCGAATTAAAAAAAAACATGTAGTTTGTGGAGCTTATAGGAATAGAGAAATATATAGCAATGTTTGGGTAACATTTCTATGATTGTTGCCATATGGAAAAATAAAACTTATAATGTTATTAATGGGTATAAGTACTTTACGAAAAGAGAATCTATGGTTTCTCTTTGATGTCTAAAAAAGTTTGCACCGCTTCAGTACCAACTACTTTGTTACTTCGTACCTTCAGTACTAGGCGAACTGAGACGCAGGCAACAAACTAGCCATTATTATATATTACGTAATTTTACGTAGGTATATAAATAAAGCATGAGTTTGGCGCAAGAAACAAAAGTATGATTGTCTCATTCATATGACGTTAAGATAGAATGAGACAGCTGATGGAAGTGAGGAGATGAGGAAAATAATTCAAGCAACTCAATATTATAAAGGTAGGTACGACAACGGAAATCGAAAAGTCATGGCTCTTGGATATCTATGGATACTGTTAAATGGGGTGCCAACGTGTCTGCCTACCCTTTTACAAGATGGAGGGGTTAACTCAAACGAATAGCAATCGAATGGGAATTTTAACGAGTATTTTATTTATGCTATAACTTTCGTGAGGCATGCTAAATTAATTATTGTTTTTGGCTAACTCACGTATGGTTTGACGAGGAACTCGACTAGTTTCAAGCCATTCTAGAGGCTCATATTCATGAGCAGCATTACGCGACACATGACGCGGCGACTTAGTAGGAGCGCCAAAGTTGAATATTTTATTTACTTAGTTATGATAACCCATTTACTGCCAATTTCTATAACATGTCTCAATCCAAAATGTGTGGATTAAGATCGATTTTTGACAGAAACTGTACAACTACTGTCACTAATCGACCTATATCGACAGATTTTGGATTAAGATAGTTTATTAAAATTGGCAATTAGCGAGACTATCCAAAAATCTAGATGATTTACTTAGTTTGCCTCCATATGCGTCTATGGACTCATCATAATCTTCTACGTCACTTAAACGTCAGTCAAACCATTTCACCAGCTAAAATAGTCAATAAAGGATTGACACTGAAGTTTAATAATTTTATAAAATTTTCAAGCCCATATTTGATCTTTCAAAACCAACCCCAACTGGCTGGAAAAGGTAAGCAAAATCATTTAAAAACAAAACTAAGAACAAAAATGTATTATTTCTGGAAAGGAATCAAATGCCTACTAGCGCCATATCGATAATCTGACAGTGACTTAAAACTTTTTAATGTCGCCTCACACTAGGAAATTCTCCTGTGAAGTCCTGTGTCGTGGGTGCGTATACAAACATACAAGTTCACATACACATGACACCCAGACCCGGAATAACAATTTGTGGATCACACAAAGTGTTATTCCGTGCGGGAATCGCACCCAACTGAAGCCCAACCACGATGCCAATCGTGCCGTTACAACTCAAGTAAAATTACATTATAACTTACAAAATAATATTGAAATGACGTACCAAACTACAATCCAAATTACGTATCACCCGTCGTCTGATTGAAGCTGCCCTTAGATTAGCTCGTTTTCTGAAACATAACACAATATATATCATTAAAAATTATACTGAAACTTTGTTTAATTGAACCTCCTTCTTTTAGGAGTAGGTTAATAAGTAGTGCGAAATAATCAGAAATACCCACAGAATGGTATTACGTTGTTATTGACCGAAGGTTTAAGACTTATCAACGGTAAGTACCTTCCAAAGAGCCTCTTTCCGAGTTATACGTATGATCTAATACTATTTAGACACTGACAACCGATGAAGGAAAGCATCGGGAGGACACCTGGGCTCATAATTTCTAACTTTTAATTAGAAATCGTCAGCCTGCATCGCCAACCCGCAAGAGAAGAGGCCTTTGGTCAGCAGTGACCACTTATAGGCTGTTGTTCGATACCTCCATGAAACCACTATGTGATTGTGCGATTCACAAAGACGTAATTACCTACTTAAGTAGCTTAATCCGGTTCAGTTGTCAACCTTAGCGCGCTGACCTACTATTGGCTTCTTCCAAAACATAAATTTTTATTCCCTCGCATAGTCCCATAGTAAGATATGTATATTAAAATTAAATGTAAATAGCCACTAATTTCATGTAGATGGGGAACCTAAGGTATGTACTAGGACTATTAATCATATAACTAAATTATTTTGTACTTCATTACACGTAGAAAACCTAGTTAAAGGCTGGTATAGGGGTAGCTGAGACCTACTTTCAGGCCTCAACGTAAACTTGATTATTTATGCACGACAGGAAAATTATGATTTTCGTATGAAAATAATATGTTGTAATCATGAAATAAAATTAAATTATGACTATGAAACTACTTACTTAATTATTCCTAATAAGACTTATATATCATTTCTGTCGAGTTCGAATCTAGTGTTAATCAGTACTATTGGATTTTCTTAGGTTTCCTGAAAATTCTCAATAATATCGCGAAATCTGAAATCGTGTCTTATATTACATGGGACTCATAACACAATGGATAAAAAGTGACTAGGAACTAAGTGCCGATTTTTTCATATCCCCGAAGGGGTAGGCAGAGGTGTACATTATGCCACTGTACAATGTAACACCCACTTTTCACTATTTATGTTATGAGACGCATGTAATAGGGGGTGAGCGTATTGCCATATACCGGGCTCAATTCCAGAATCCGTGCTGCTACTGAGAATTTATAAAAACCCAGTAATATTTTGCCCAACCCCGGAATCGAAACCGAGACCTCTTGCCCGGCAGTCGCACTTGCGACCACACGGCCAACGAGGCAGTCATGTTATGAGTTATCAGTCATGTTGTTAGTATGAGTTTTATTACGAGTCCCATGTAATAGGGGGTGAGCCTATTGCTATATACCGAACACAATAGGCGTGTCGACACGGTAAAAAAATCAAAAAAGTAATTAGTCCATCATTAAGATCGCACGAAAATATCAGACACGTATTTTTTGTTTTATTAAATTAACAGAAGATTACGAAGTTATTCCGCATTAAAGTTAGGGAGTGGGGGGTGTTGACGTCACACTTACGGAGAAATCGTACCTAAGTGTGACGTCACGCGTCATTTTAACTCAAAATATCTACATGTTTTTTTGGATACGAGAAAAAAGAAAAAATACGTATCGAAGATTTTTACAATATCTAAAAGACGGACAAAAAATTAAAAAATAGTCACCATGCCTATTCCAGGCTTCGTGCTACTACTGAGATACTACTATTATAAATTATCAAAAATTGAATGAGGCTTGATTCTCAACCATGTCGGAAATGAGCATGTGTAACATTAAGTACGTAGCTACCTTTAGTCCTTTATTATTGTGTTTATATTATGTAATATTGAGACTGTACTTACAAAAGTTCTGACGAAGAACGCCTATTCGTTCAGCCAGCTGAATTATCGTTGATATCTGCAACAAATGAAATACAAATTTTCGATGAACTGCCTCGATAGTCTATAATGTTATGTTATATTATAACTAGCTGACCCCGGTAAACTTTGTACAGCCTAAAATTTTTTCTCACCTTTTAAATCTTTCCTGGACTTTAACGAACATTTCAAGACCAAAATTACCCAAATCGGTTCAGCCGTTCTCGAGTATTAGCGAGTCTAACGAACGGGAATTCATTTTTTTTTTGTGTTTCTGAGTATTAATGCAGTACGTTTTAAAGTAATATACATTTGTATAATAAGTTGTAAAGTAATATACACAAGTGTGGGAGAGCCATAGATCGGCACGATTGGACCGGAGTGATACCACGGCCTCACAGAAGACCGACGTGAAACAATGCTTGCAATTCCTACCCCCCCCCCCATTGAATCTCCAACAATCCTCAAATTCCTAATTCTAAAAGGCCGGGATCGCACTTGTAATGTCTTTGATCTTCCAGGTGTCCATGGGCGACGCCGATAGCTTACCATCAAGTGATCCGTCTGCTCGTTTACCGGCTCTTTTTTTATATGGGATATAAAAAAAACAAGTACCTCTTGTATGTATGTATGTACGTGTATTTGTGAAATTAAATAAAACATTTTACTTGCTATGATTTCCACCATATTATCAAGTAACACATAACAGTAACTAGCATAACACTGTGTATCTGTCTAGATTGAATCTAGTGTCTAAAACGAACCTCAATCAGTCAGCCCTGACTATTCACTTGGGACCAGTAGGATTGCGCCTCCGAAACCACCTCTATAGCTCAGATTAATGGAATAGGATTGTACATGTCCGCTCGGAAATTCGGAAAATGCTATAGTGTTCTAGAAACAGCATAACACCATCGTTGTTTAGAATACCGAGTGAAAAACAAGCTCTATTTTATAGTCTTAAAAAAATATTTGTCTCCAAAGAGTTTAGTGATAAACGAGGTCGAATTTAGACCTGAGAACTTTCTCTAGTTACTTATATTAATTGTTAATTGTTTTTTAGGGACAAGCCCGCCACAGCCTCCCAACTCCTGTAAGCCAGGATCTACAGTAAATACAACCATGAAAAAACCGGACCGCTGAAGTCCGGCGCGTCCCAGGGACATGAATAACTGTCTTGGTTCCCGCAACGAAGTGAATCAGAAGATATTACAAGAGGAGAAGAAAAAAAAACGTAATAGTCTTCCCTCGGTAAATTACTGCAAGAGACAGAATTAAGCCTAAAGGCACAAAAAAGAGACTGTACAACTGGGTGAAGCCCAGTTGCCAAGCAGCATATTAATTGTTATTGTTAAAATAACCTTAAAAATACCTACATATATGTGAGTGATGCTGCAAAACTACATATGTCACATGTAAATAAATCGACAAAACCCCACAAAGTTCTTAGCAATCAGATTCACCCCACAGCTACTCGATACTAACAATTACCGACAGAACCCGTGCTTTACACCGTAAAATTCCAAATTCAAACTCTCATGTACTATTGGCGGGGAGAGACGAGCTCTAAGCTTCCCGTTCTCCTATTGGTCGTTGATAACTTGATGTAATTTAAAATATTGTCACTTGACGGCGGCGGTTTTCGCCTTATTGCAATTTATTTTCGTGGGGAAGATTATTTAATTTTCTCCGGCCTCCTATACTTTAATAAACAGATATTGGATGGCGTGACTTGATTGTAGGGGTAAACATGGTCCATGTGTCTAGTCTGGCTTTTAAATTATGTAAAAAGTTTGCAGACATTTTTGTTACACTACAATCGAAACTACAAACTGGAAAGAAGCTTCATTCGTGTAATCTTCCCTCGTGGATGTCGTAAGAGCGACTCCAAACTGACACGAACCTCCATGGTTATGGAAAACCTCTTTCATGTAGGTAGAGGAGAAATGTTAGTATGAGGAAAAACTATAAGTAAGTAACTTATACATAGGTTCAAGGTCATATCGTATCGAACATCCACACGCATCACCCTGTGTACAGAATGAAAACACCAGACACCATTAAGTTTTAACTGGTACCTTAGGCTTTTAAATTAGGCGGTTTGCCGACCTAATTTAATGTACTCTCTGCACGGAAGCTGCGGCCTTGAGAGGAGAAAATGCATCTTCATTTTCGGGAGTTCACGGTACAAGGGCGAGTCCATTATTCAAATTAAGTGCACTTTCTCATCTTCACTTGATTTCTACCTTTCTGTATAGTCTATGTTAATGTATCAAATGGCGCTTGGTACATTGGTAAGTGTTTAACACGATGAGACATATTATAGTTACGTTATATCTTCTGTATCCACGGTTGGTGCGGTGGCTGGACAACCGGCTGGCGATCAACGTGTCGCGGATTCGATTCCCGCACGGAGCAACTCTTTGTGTGATCTACAAATTGTTGTTCCGGGTCTGGGTGTCATGTGTATGTGAACTTGTATGTTTCTAAAAGCACCCACGATACAAGAAAAAATCCTAGTGTAGGGCAACATTTTTAGGAAAAAGTTATTTGACTTTAGAGACTGAGTTATCATTTGCTTTTAAACAAATTATAACAAAAGTTGTAGTAGTAACTTGACATTTTGTAGAGTATATTAAATGTTATATTGTGAGTCCCATGTAACAGGAGGTGAACCTATAACCTTGTAACAAATAACACATATTATGATTCAGATATGAAACATACAATGTTACCTTTTTAAGGCCCCTGGGTATATTTCAAAATACTAGGTAACAACAAAATTAAAAAAAATCCAATGGCAACAATTATATTTTTGAGCCTAATTTATCTTGTGCGCACTTAAGTCTAGAATACCTAGGTATATTTTAGGGGCGTAAGACGTCGTGGGGTAGGCGCACCTGAGTCAAAAGGGACTAACCGCCAAGTAATATCCGCGCGGAAGGAACTCAGACCTTCCTAGTTATCCCGATTAACGTCTCTACAATATAATTATCCCGCAATAAAAGCCTGTTTTGTGTGCTCATTACTAAAGTCCTGGTTATTGATTTGTCTGTCTTTTTTGACTCACAATAATAATTTTAGACATTTTAAAACTTGTAAGTCAAAATAACAATTCGGATGCTCTAATCTCGCTTGTAACAGTAATAGGAACGGGATGGGTTTTAGTCATTAAGAGCCTGACTGTCACCTCACCCTTATTAATTCTAGATGAATTCAGATTGCAGCTACAAGACACATTAGATCTCATTTGCTCCTAAAATCAGCAAAATCACATCCACACTTGAAATCACAGCAACGTTCTATAGTCATTCATTGTATCGTACGCATAGTAAAGTATCGTCTATTTGGTGTGTGTGTGTGTGTGTGTGTGTGTTCTAACCTAACACATTTATGAAATGCGAATGATAGGTGTAAATCTAGCTGTGCCACGTACACAAGTACCCGCACTTGCAAGCAGGCTTCCAATTCGAACTGAACAATGTTTAATTAGTAGCAGGTATCGATTGTACAATGTTTGGCAGTCGCGTTCGCTGATTGCCGCATCGCACGTTCGCCAATCAAGCGGAAATCTAATCTACCAACTTTCCATACCTACGCCTAGGTCGGATGGTAAAGTGGCCATTACCTTACGCCCGCGCCGCGTCGGGTGGTTGCCGCGCCACCATCGCGTCGGCTAGGCGTCGCGTCGTCACGCGGTGTAAGGAAACTTCATTTTGACAGAAAGGCTTCGTTTAAATATTAGCATTTCATTTGATTTTTGGAAACATTTATTTATAGATTGTGTTAACAGTTCTGAAACCATCTACTAATATATTTTTTTTAATCCTTATTTAATTACAGGGTTTTTTCCTAAAAGAAAACGTCACCCCGATTATTGACTACAAAAATAACAAAAAAGAACACTTATACTTAGACATACATTTAAGTTAACCTAATCTACTAATATTATTTAAACATTCTTTCAGTATTGGTAAGCTTACTTTTCAAAGACATATATAGAACACTAGCTTTTACCCGCAGCTTCGCCCGCGTTACAAAAGGATAAACAGTAGCCTATGTGACATATAGGTACCAATACACATCTATAGCAATATTTTTGTTTTCCCTCGGGAAAATCAATTTTTTCCGAGATAATGTACTCTATTATTTAATCCGGACTTCTAACTTTACGTCTGCAAAACTTCAAAGCAATCGGTTTAGTAGTTACGGCGTGAAAGCGGAACAAACAAACAAACAAACTCACTTTCCGATTTATAATATTAGTAAGGATAGTAAGGATACGACAGCCATACCTACATAGTGGGAAGTGTATGTAATATGTAATATACGTAATTTTTACAAGCCTTAAGCAATCCTATTATTTTATTTGTTTTGACAGCGAATCCATAGAGCTACAATAGATAATTGAAAAAGCTACTACATACATTAACGGTCAGGCGCTGAAAAATTTCGTACTTTGGGGTCAGGTGTGCAAAAATTTGTATCCCAGTTTTTCTTTTAAAATCGTACAAATACACCTCACATCGATCACTATGCAAATTAAACAGTACTTATCAAGAAAAGATTTACAATTAATGTTAAGTGTTTCGTTTGAACGAGGCAGTATAGAAACATGCAAGTTCTGTACATGTGTTATCGAAGGAATTGCACCGTGTTTCACTACATTCCGCATACAACACTTCCCTGTGAACTAATAAAGAAAAACATTACACCTAGAGAAAGAAATTAAAAATATACTGATACTATGCAACCTGCCTGCTGTACAGGTTTCGAACCTAGTTCAGGAACATGACATGTCATGGCAATAATGTAGACTGAAGACGTGAAACTGTAATTTCTTTATATACTTTTTAATAAAAAGTTATTATTTATTTATTATTATTATAATTTATATAATAAGGACTAGAAAGGAAAGAAAGCTTCAAGTCCAAATCAAGCGGATCATAAACTTCTTTAATTTAATTTGTGTCACATGGTAAACTATGAATTGGGTTGATGATAGGGTATGAAAATTAAAAATATAACTAGTCCGTAAGTT